TCTCTTCAATGCCTAAAGTTAAAAGAAGTCTTCAGGGTCTTCCTTTGCCATTCAGAGAATTCTTTAAGACAGGAACGAGGAAGTGCCCCACCGTATTAACAAGGACAAGGGTGCCCACAGCACTTACTGAATACATTTCACCACTGATTTTCCAGGTGACCAGGGATACGGGCTTCAAATTCTCTGAGTTTCTGTTCCCTGGTTTTGTTTTATTTTTTAAAGTCAACTGAGGGAATGGAATAGCAATTTCAGAATGTTCAGAGGTAAGGATAATGGGTAACGTAGGATGGGATGCATACACAGGGTAACGTATGTTTTTAAGAGACTGACACAAAGAAATTGCTCAATAAGTGTTCACTTCCGCTGCCTCAAAGGAACTGGAGGTCAATTGAAATTATAGATAACTTATTTTTTGTATACTCCAGAGACCTTGCACATAGCCTGGTATAATACATTTGTCAGATGGATCAAGGCACAGACAGTTATTTTAAAACAAAGCAAAAGCTCTCAGCATCATACAAAACTCTCAGATGAGCAAAGAACAGAACTGGACCACCAAAGTGCGGTCTAATTGCCAAACATGTGGTGTTAAACATTTTCTCATCCACATGACACAACAGAGTTCCCAGACTCATATTAACTATCAACCCAGGACCAATTTTTAATCAGGAAAGAACAAGAGGAGGACATTTGAATAACAAAAGAGGAAAAAAAGAAAGTCTTTTAAAAATTAAATTAGTGGTCCTGCATTTTATGGGGTTTACAAAACCCATCAGGACGCATGAGTTCTCCTCCCATAAAACAGGTATATGCACCACTTGGCACACAGTGTCAGCGCCACTTTAGAATCCTCTATTTCAATCCATTTAGACTCTAAATCCAAACTCTGTAGCCATATCAGATGTTTTTCAACTTACTGTGGACTTCTGGCAAAACATGTGCAGATGGTTCAATTGCACTGATCTTTGAAGACTCAGTTATGTCCTAAAAAGCAACTTAAAACTCCCAGAGGATAAGATTTATATGCTTGCCATGGTGACAATCTAGGAAAGTTCTTATTAAACTGCTCAGACGACCCTTTGCATTTTACAGCCCAACTGCTGGGGAAGAGACAGTTTATAGATTCTTCTTCTGGCAGTGAGGTGAGCTGAGCAGCCAGGGAGGGTCATCAGAAAGACTCTCCCGTGGTGATCCCAGACCACCGGACAGAGTCCACACTTCTCATCAAGCAGAGTTTCTACAGGGAAGCTTTAGCCTCCATTTCATAGTTTGTTTCGAAAACTCTGGACTCTTGAGACCCCAGTGGAAGAACTCCCTCCCAGGGCCTTAAGCCAAGATGCTTCAGAGGCACAAGTCTGATGTTGGGAGCGAGTGTAGCTAAGGATGTACTTCAGGGATATCTTAGTCCATTCAAGCTGTTATAAGAAAATGCCAAGAACTGAGCTGCTTACAGACAGCAGAAATGTCCTGTTTACAGTTCCGGAGCCTGGAATTCCAAGCTCAGAGTGCCAGTATGTTGGGTTCTGCTGAGAGACCTCTTCTGTATTGCAGGCTGCCCCCTTCAATTGTATCCTCACATGCTGGAAGGGGCTAGAAAACTCTCTGGAGATTATCTTTTCCTTTTAGGAAAGCTCTGCCTTCATGACACAATCATCTCCCAAAGTCCTCACCTCCTAGCACCTCAGGCAGCAGGCAGCTGGTGTGTCTCCATCCTGAGTTCCCTCAGGGCTCACTGTCAGGGGCGGCTGAAATGGGGTGGCTATTGATGGCTGCAGCATCCTTTGTTTACTGATGTGGCAGGCAACATTTTTCATTCACATTCCTAACCTTGTTTCTCCCTCTAAGTGTCCACACCAGAAATCCAGGACCACAGATTGTGCCTGGACCCCTCAGCTTACGAGATCAGGATGGAGGTCACTTCTGCAGTGAAGGAATCTCCAAACTTGCATCAGGCAGGCAAACAGCTAAGCTTCCACCTGAAAATCTACGGAGCCTCCTGCCCCTAAGATATCATTTTGACACGCGCAGCTTCTGACTGCAAAGTAGTTAGAGCTCCCTGTCACATTCTCAGTTCCTCGGTAAGCACTGGGAGAACACAGTAGGGAAATAACTTGTTTTTCATCATCTACGAAACTCTATAATACTTTAAACTTCACTTTGTGTGTCTTTTATTTTCAAATAAAGATTGTCATCCATACTGCTGTTATATAAAAACATGTAAGCAGCATTTATTGATTCCACACCAGCACCATTTGTGAGAAATTTAGCTGCCTGGCTTGCTACAGTTGAGCCGAGAAAGTGTTTTTGCCACTCCCCTCACTTCGCCCCCCCCCGCCCCGGATATATGTTTACGTCTGCCTGGCAGGATCTGGCGGTGAATCTTGAGTCTTCAGAAGAACTCATTTGCAAGATCACGACAGCTGTGGACCAGAGCGACATCTTGGAAGCGTTGGCTGCCAAAATAAGACCCTCTCAACAGGTGGTGGAAGACTTTAAACAGAATGGACTCCTCACCACCATGTGACTACCCACCATGGAGGGTGGTTCCTCTCCCTGCAGGACAGAAAGGTGCCAAGAATGCAGTTAGGCTGAAATAGAATTTTGTGAATGTTAGCAAGTTAGCAGTTAGACAATAAAGCTACATGGAAGCCTTTGGGTCTTCACACATAAATGAAATGAATTGAAGTTTCCAAATGTAAGAGTCAAGTTTCTGGAAGTCATTGCAACGGATATGATGGGCTCACCAGGGGAGAGGGCGTACCTGTGGCCCAGGAGAAAACGAGCATTCTTACTTGGTCCTGAGGATTTTCGTAATAAAACAAAATCACTCTCTCCTAATGTTTCAGGCAACCAAGTTCCCTAGTCATTGCACTCTTTTCTTAACTTTTCTGGGTGTTTGAAAAATGTCAAAACATAACAGGTTGGGGAAAAGGAAAAGAATAGATCAACAGAAAATAAGTAAAAAATAGATGTAATCTCATAGAAAATTTTTTTTAAAAAAACTCAGGACTTTAAGTGGAAAATATTTAACTTTATGAAGAATTCACTTTTAAAAAAACTCATGTTGTCTTTTTTTTTTTTTTTCACTTTCCTGTGGCGGAATGAAAACCCCTGGGCATCCATCAGAGGCCCAGCACTGGGGAGCCCTGTTCTGGAAAGGCAGCTCGTGGGGTAGTGGGTTGAGAGGATGAATTTGGGGCTAGTGCCCTTGTTTGGGTGCCATCCCAGACCCCGCTACTTCTTGGTCACTGAGGGAACTGGCACAAGCTGCTTAAATTCCTTGTGCCCCACTTTCCTTATTTGTGAAAACTGGGCTGATGAGAATGGAACAAAGTAATGTTAAGTGACTTGGCCACAGCTTGTAAGTGACATTAGCTGAGTTTGGTTTCCAAGTAAATGGTAGGAAAACATCACCAAAACTTTCCTCTGTCTCTGCACACCTATAGGTCTTAGAACTTCTTTCAGAACCTTCAAGCCATAGTTTATTGTGTGTTTATTGGTTTTATCCTATTTGATTTCTTGATGCAGGAGGTGTTTGATTTTTCTTGGCTTTTCTCAGATATAACAGATTTTTTTCACTCATGTGTTTGAATGAATAATGGAAATACTAAGACACTTGCTAAGGAAGGCCACATTGATCAAGAGAAACCTGTTTGATACTCTTCATTTTGGTTACCTTCCATGAGAAGTTTATCAGAAGTTTATCAGCCAGGATGCTTCCCAGGTCTCCTTAACATGTTAAGTCTGACACCAAAGCATGAGGCTTAATTTCCCAAGGAACAGTGGCTTAAATTAAAGCAGGTTTGCAGAATTGTTGGGGCTTTTGGGTGTCTGAGGGGAAGGGAAACCACCAGCATCCTGGTAATGACAATGAACGAAAGAAACGTGGCCACGCATGAGTGAGCCAAACTGCTTTCAGCAAAAAAAAAACTGATCAATATTATGTTCATAAATCTTTAGTTATTGCAGAAGTGATCAATCAAAAAGAAAAGTTCAAATGTAGAAATCCTCTTTGGGAATCGGGCTTTAGCCTTAACATTGTGGGAGGATAGTGCCATCTGGTGTGTAGTTCTATAACTACATGTTGAATTTTTTTTTTTTTTAACCTCCTCCCTAATTACCAATGTGTTTCAGCTGGCTTTACGAAAATAAATCATTCTTCGGGCTTCCATAAGGACATGTTAAAAACCTCGGCTCATTCCCAAGCTTAAGACTCCTCCAACTCATACGAGTCTTACAAGCTAAACAGGGTTCACCCTCGGATAGATTCAAAGTCAAAATCACATTCAAGCTGAAGTCCGAGGGATCAGAAACTATGAATAGAGGAAACCAGTAAGGAGAGAGAAAAACGTAGCCAGTGAGCAGAGATGGGGGCAGGAAACCATGAAACCCATGAGAGAACAAACAAACACAGGTCTGTCCTTGGGCTCCAGCAGGCCCTGATAACATTCTAATTTAGCTCATTTGCACCCTGATCATAAACTTTTCAGTAAACCTCTGTTGCTTGCAATGGAATAAGCCTAACTTAAAAAAAATTAGTTTAAATTAAGCGAAAAGATTATAAATCCTCAAATCTGGCAGGCTTACTTACACAATTCCCCAAATGCCTGAATGCCTTTCTTCTTTAACCTTCTGGTAGAGACCACTCTGGCTGGGAGACACTTTTCCAGGACTGGATCATCAGAAGATGTGGGAATTTGGGGTTTTAATGTTTCCCACGTTTTGCTGCGTTGTGTTTATATGCACAATAAGGTCTGTAAACAGCCTGGGTCATGGAACGCTCTAGAAGGTTTCTGCGCAGGAACATTCACTCTCCTCAATGCCCTAACAAGGAGAGGCTATAACACAGAAAGCCAGCGTCCGCAACTTTCCTTTTTCAGTCAGGTGTGGACTACACTTCCCAGAATGCCCCATTGCTGGAGCTCCTGCAGGAGTGGCCAGGAAAACGCGGAAGTGGTTACGGGTCGCCCAGCAACGAGCGGAGTCCTGGGCCGTGACTGGACGTCCACGCCCTTTGCCTGCAGCCTGGAGGTGAACGAAACTCTTCTCCTTCTGCAGACCCTTAGAGAGCTCACCGGCTCTTACCTCCAGCCGAGTGGCCGTGCGCGCTCGTCCATGCTTTCCCTGCCGTTCTACTCAGGTCCCTCCCCCTTTCACTCCGGCAGTTGCGAAACTGCGGAGACTGGATTCCGGCTGCCGAATCGGCTGAGCGGCTCCGGGCGGCGCAGTGCGCAGGCGCGAGCGTCTGGGACCCGCGGCGCGCGGCGCTCGGTTGAAGCAGAGTGAGTTCCTGGGCGCGGAGAGGCGGTAGCCGGCGTCCGAGCAAGCGAGTGACCGGGTGCCTCCTGTGCAGCCATGGCAGCCCTGCGCTACGCTGGCCTGGACGACACGGACAGCGAGGACGAGCTGCCCCCGGGCTGGGAGCAGAGAACCACCAAGGACGGCTGGGTTTACTATGCCAAGTAAGGGGGCCGCCGGGCCTGGGACACACCTCTCGTGGGACGCACCTGGAGCCCTGACCCCCGAATGCCACCTACGCGGGGAGGGCCGTGGTCCCCTGCTCGGACTTGGCCTGCACGGCCAAGGCGGCAGTGATTGTTGAAGAGCTGCCGGGGTCCTGAGGACAGGCCGGCCCCCTCTCTGAGCCTGGGTCCAGCAGGAGTCACCTGGCGGCCTCCCGGGCCCGCGGGTCTGCTGCTTGGGATGCAGCGCTGCATGGTGCAGGGAAGGCAGGCCAGGTTTATCCCCTTCCCCCTCCAAAATCACACACACACACACACAAAATACCGACATACAGCTCCCTCCTCAGGGGTCTGGAGTGGGGACCTAGGAGTATGTATTTTAAACAAATACCTTGGTATAGCTATGTGTGTACACGTGTATGTTCTTATATATAAAATATAGCTAATATAGCTTTACTGTAGTTCTCGGGAAAGTTTTGCAAGCACCAGCAGACCTTTTCTTCCACCACTTACTGTGTGACTTTGGACCATTGGAAAAACTCTCCGTCAAGGTTTTCCCACCTGCAAAATCGGTTAATAGAGCTTTAGTTGAGGCACTGTATGTAAAGTTCGCAGAGGCCCAAAAATACTCAATGCTGGATAGCTGTTAGCTTTTTCTGCAGCTCTAACGGCACCTTCTAGGCGTTATTAGATATTAGAGACACCTGGGGACTACACTAATCTCCATTTCGGGTCTCCCCAGAGACCCTCACGCAGCACGCATCCAACATAGAGAATCTTTGTTTTTTAAGCCTTTCAGGTGAGACAGATTACCAGGAGGGTAATTCCTAAATGGGCACTTGCTGTTCCCTCAGTCTTTGCCCTAAGGGCTCTTTCAGCCCTCAGAGCTGAGCTTAAATGTCACTGCCCACGAGAGCGTGCCCTGGTACCGGCCCTGCACCCTCTTCTTAGAACCTCACCGCCCTGTGATACTCATCCTTGTCTGTCGGTATCTACCCACTCCTCTGCCCTGTTTGTGCTCTGTCTCTCCCAAGATTGTCACCTTCAGGAGGGCAGGGACCTTTCCTTGTTCCCCTCTGAATCCCCAGTGCTTAGCAGCCAGGACCAGAAAACAAGTCCATGGGGGAATGAGTAAATGAGTCCGTCGAGCGAAGTTTTCTTGCTGGGCTCCCTGGGCAGGCGGCATTCTCAGCCCTGGGGATGCGCAGATGCACATGGCTTGCATCCAGCATTCTGGGCTCCTCTGCTCCTGCTCTGGGTGAGGCCCATCCTTGTTCTGATCGCTGCCTTCAGAGCTCCTGACCTCATTTCAAGCTCACCTGGAGCCGAGTTAGGGCTGGAGGCACCTTCTCCTGTGCTCACTCTGTCCCTCCCCTCCCTTTGTGTTTGGTGGCCTTCCCCCTCTGCTTCCTTCCTAGGTGGTGCCCACTGGGCCTGGGGCTTGTCTTGCATGCCCCAGCTAGCCCTTCTGAGAGCTTCTAGGGAGCCCACGGCCGGGGACTCAGTCGTGCATATGTGGTCTCTGAAAAGTCCTGACCCCAGCAATGTCTGGGCCCATCGTTTACACTGTCTGAGGTGACAAGGCTTGGCGGGCTCCCAGCTTGAGGGATGCCTCTCTCCAGACACTCTCTTCAGCCCTACCAGCCTACTGGCTCGGGGTTGAAGGATGCCTCTGAACCATCCTGACCCTGAATTCTCAGCATCCCCCTTGATCATTCCTGACCTGCAAGTATCTGGTCCTTCTTTTCTGTCCTAATTCTGGAAGGTCACTTGTCCCTTGGGGTTTGGGAAACTTGGCTAATGGGCTCTCAGAAGATTTTTTTCCTCCCACTGTGGCAGGGTCACGGCCAAGAACAGAGGCTGTGGCTCCCAATGAGAGCTCTGGGGTCCTTTGGAAATGCTCCTATGACTTCACCCCTCTTTTATTGTGTGGGGCTTCCCTACATGTCCCACAACACACTCAGACATCAAAGGAGCACACGTCACATGACTCAAGGCCCCCAGGCTGGGCTCCCAGGGAGGGGACCTTCTTGCTGCTGGGGGCAGACCTGTCACCAGAGAGAGCCTTACCCAGGGGGTGGGGACAGAAGGACAAGGTCTTGGTGCTGGGGGCTGTGGCTGCAGTCACCTAGGCCTTGCTGGGACCTCCATTCCCACCTGCTTTTCTTGTGAAGGCCAGGCTTCTTGGCAGCAGAGGGATGACTGGCCAGCCCCATTGGGAGATGGGTTCCTTGTCCACAGTTTGCTCTGGATCTCCTAGTTAACTTCAAGAAACTAGGCTTCCGGAAAAAAAAAAAAAAAACCTACAGAAAAACCAACCCTTAGAAGAGCTTACTTGAAAGTGATATCCATGTAATGTAGTGTGAATTTAATTTTGATCCCTGTGGTTTAAATTAAAATCACTGTTAATTATCTCTTTAAATGACAAAACGCTTACTGAAAGAAAAGAAAAATAAAAGAGGGCTTATATTTAAGGGAGAATAAGATAACAGTTTGGGGACATGTGGTGTAATTTTCTGTTCATTAAAAAGTCATCGTAGGTTACAATGAAAAAGGAACACCTTTTAATGAATTTTTATATAAAAATTGGCTTAAAATAATGCTCCTGTGTGAAGGGTGCAGTTTTTACCTCTGCACACATGTTAACTCATTCAGTCCTCTGTTACGCCAAGAAGTAGGGCTGTTGTTGCTACCCCCTTTTCATGGATGGAGAAACTGAGGCACAGGGAGGTTGAACAGCTTCGTCTCCAAGGACACACGGCCGGTGAGTGAGAGAACCAGGAAATGTGGGCCTCAGGCTCTGAAACCCTCGTTACCACATTGTGCTTTCTTTTGCGAGGCCCCGGGTTCTTCCCTGGGGACGCTGTGCCTGCGGGAGCTGGTTGGTGTGTCTGGAGACCCCTTCTGTCGCCAGATTCCTGTTGGCATCTGGTGGGTAGAGACCAGAGATGCTGCTTATCACCCGCCGATGCCTAGGATGGTCTGCACCTACTGGAGTGCGGAGAGGCGGATGATCGTCCTGGGGAGTCAGGGCTTCGCTCTGTGCAGGCAGGATTTGATGGTGGTAGATGGGCTTGGTCCTTGCTGGATACCCTCCGTTTGTACAGCCGCCATCCCAGGGAGGCTGTCTCTTTGCAGCTGCTCTCTGAGATGGGTGTGATGCCTGGGAGGCTGGCTTACTGAGTCCAGGCCATGCGGGAGCTCAGCTCTTGGGCCTTTGGAGTCCAATGTCCACAGCACCCCAGCACCGGCCACCGAGAGTCTGCAGAAACACCGGAAGCCAGTGGTTCCTGGGAAGACCCTACTTTTGACTTGGAACATTTTACAGGAGCATTTACATGCTCTCTGTGTTTATTCTCTGTAAAATAACGGAGAGGGAAGGAATCTGGTTGTCAGTGATTAAAGATTATTTTCTCTGTTGGCGTGAGCACGTGACCTTTGCCTCTTGGAACATCCTGCTGTTTCCATGATTAAGTAATTTTGTTTTTCTCGACTCTTTGTCACCTGTTGACAGGTGTCTCTAGTCTGTCATTGGCTCACGGTTTTAATTATAACTGTGTGCTCTTTGGAGCTAAAATGCATGTTTGGTACAGAAGTCAGACTAGTTTGTATATTTAATTTGTTCAAAATAACAGGATTTTTGAGGGCTTTTTATATGCCAGGTACTGTGTTCAACCCTTCATACACAGTATCTTCATAATATTCTCCTGAGGTCAACACTAGGATTATTTCCACTTTGCAGATGAGGAAATTGCGGCTCTGAAGTTGAGTGACTTGACCCAAAGGCACATGGCTAGGTGACCTATGGGGCTGCCAGACTGCATTCTTAGTGACCTCTTGGACACAGTTGGAATCAATGCTTAAAAAACACTTTAAAGTTGTATCTGTGGAAAGAATAAACATTTAAGAAGATTAAGGTTCTATCTAAGGATATCTACATACCAGCATTATAAGTTAGACTGACATCTTTCAGTCTCTCCTAGAATAAGACTAAAATACAGAGGGAAATATATCTCTAGATGTTTTGAGTGATTCAGTGTGATTCCTCAAGTTGACCCCTAGCCTGGGTGGCGGTCCTTTTCCTCCTGTTGCATAGCTGGCTGGTAAACGCAGGCTCTCAGGAGGTTTTCACATATTGCTGCTGCTTCTAGACCAGAGAATTGGATCTGATGCAAGCAGTAACCTGTTCTGAGTATTTCTGAACATCTGACTTTACTACTTGTGAGGAAGAGGATTATTTGGGAGAGAGAAAATTCAATGCAGTTGATTAACTTTCGGAAGTGTAACTTTTACTTATTGTTTTGTGGGCTTTTTTTTGTTTTTGACAGTCATACCGAGGAGAAGACTCAGTGGGAACATCCAAAAACTGGAAAAAGAAAGAGAATAGCAGGAGGTTTGTATGTTGTTGTCCTAAAGCAGAGAATTCTGTATTTGAAGCAGTAATTTTTAGATGGGGAAAGTCACAGGAAGAGAGGAAGCCATCAAGGAACCAGACTCTGACTCCGGGAAGCGGATGGGATTCCGTTGGGAGAAGTGATGTGATCTTGGGATGGAGTGGTGAGGGTGACTTCCTGCTGGCCTTAAATTAAAAAGTACTAAAATAATTGGGGTCTTTCGCTCACAGTTCATTAGGTTTTCCTGTAGTTGCACTGTTTATAAAGTTGTTCTTGGTTCCTCTCTGGGAATGAAACAGACCAGAATTTCCTAAAGCTTGTTGTGACTTGCAGATGCTTCCGAGTAAGTGTGTGATCCACAGAGTAGACACGTAGGAAGGTCCCTGGCCTCCAGAGGTTTGGGGTCTATTTGAAAAGACAACATGTACCCATGCTAAAAGCATGAAATTGCTCTATAATACCGTGTAAGAGTCATCCCAAGTCAGCATGTGCCTGGTGGTGTCTGCCTGCTATGGTAGAGAGATGTCCTGTGAATTCATTCAAGGGAGAATTCACCTTGTTTGGAGCCACTAGTAAGGTTTTTGTCAAAAGCAGGAGCTGACTGGAGGGTTTAAGAAGGATCGGGAATGAAATAGTTGTACTTCCAAGCAGAAGGCAGGTTGGGTCGTGGGCCTTCTGAACCTCCTGCAGCTGGGACGCGTGACTATTGGTGGGGGCGGGGGAGGCCCGGGGCTGCGGCTGGAAGGATCGGCCTCTGTTCACCCCACCCCTCCCCATGTTGACCTGTCCTCTTTCCTGTATTTCAGATTTGCCCTACGGATGGGAGCAGGAAACCGATGAGAACGGACAAGTGTTTTTCGTCGAGTGAGTGTCTCCAAAGAAACTATTCTCAGCCATTTTGCTTTTGAATAGGAATTTTTTGGTAAAAGGAATATACCTTGACTGTAGAAAGATATTATATAGTGTGTAAGTGTGGTCGTAACAGCAGGGATAACTCCTTCTAACAATTTTTGTATTTTTTTCCTTCCATTCTTTATATATGCTTAAAAAAAAACCCAGAAAATATATTGCGTGAACTGTTTTGTAAAATGTGTTTCCCACATAATTCTTGTGAGCATTTTCTCGCATCCTTGTAAGTTTTTCAAGAAAATGATGTTTAACAATTATATAGTATTATTTTGTACAGATATATGATAATTTATCAGATTACCTCCTGGCTTTGATGTTGTTAAATTCCCGTGATGGGGCATCCATACAGGCAGACCTTGTTGTACTGCACTTTGCAGATACTGTGTGTGTTTGTTTTTTTTTTTTCCTTTAACAAATTCAAGGTTTGTGGCAACCCTACCTTAAGCGAGTCTGTTGGTGCCATTTTTCCAATAGTGTTTACTCAGTTCACGTCTGTGCGTCACATTTTGGTGATTCTCACAGTATTCAAAACCTTCCACCAACAAAAAGACTGTGACTCACCAAAGGCTCAGACGATGTTTAGCCTTTTTTAGCAATAAGGTATTTGTTAATTAAGGCATGGATTTTTTTTAGATGTGATGCTTTTGCACACTTAATAGATGACAGTATAGTGTAAAAATAACTTTCATGTGCACTGGGAAACCAGAGAAGTGTGACTCGGTTTATCGCAATGCTCACTTTATTGCATTGGTGTGGAAACCAAAGAATTTGTGCGACTCGTTTTACTGTGCGATAGCTTTGGTGTGGAACTGACCCTGCAGTGTGGTATCTCCAGACGAAGGCCGTAGTGATAAATAACATTTTGGGCATCCTTCTCTGTAAAATTATCTTTAGAATAATTTCCAATAACAAACAGCAGTGGTAACCACCTGTCTAGCACCTAGCATGAGCCAGGTGTGAGTCTGACCTGCAGTACTGGCTAATTCAGTCCCCAGAATGCCCTAAGGGAGGTGAACAGGCACGCCACAGTCCTGGCCGGTCACCTCCTTCTCTGACCCTGTTACAGTGGTGTGCTGATAAATGCTTAACAACCGGTTCCCTAGGGGAAAAAGCCTGGATTTGCTGCCGGGGTGTAAATACTTTCACCATATCTTATTTCAAGCTACTGAGGACTTGAGAAGAGATTTGCACTTTTGGCTCCGGCATCTCTCTGTCGTCTGCATGACACTGGAGCCAAAATGCTGACCTGGCAGCTGTGGTCATAATCAACATGAATGTTGGATTGTTCTTGGGTCTTAGTATTTATGGGGTGATGAGTATAGATTTGATACTGTATGTAATTTTCCACACACACATACTACAAATACATTTTAAGTCATAAAATCGCATCTCTTTCTTTTTGAAGAGCTCTCAGTAGTTTTTAAGAGATTTTGAGGTCTGTCTCAAATCCCAGGATTACATTTAAAATGTAAAAAATAAATTCTGTTATGTAAGGTGTAACCTATTAATGTGTATGTACCAGTGTATTTTAGTATTGTTTCCACAGGATTTATAGTGACTCCAAATCAAAACTAGCGTGTGTGTGAGAGTGCAGTCTTAAAATGAAAATCATTAGAATTTTAGTCGCAGGACAGTTTCATATTTACTGCCAGGACTTTTTATCATTTTGAGTTTTCTGCTTCTCTGTCAGTCTTCTCAGGCCCTTGTACGTTAGAGATTTAATTGAAATCTACTGAAGAGAGTGCCTGACAGATCTTATAGCCACATTTACATGAATTAAAAAAAAAAACCCGGGGCAGAGTCTAGCTCAGTGGTAGAGTGCATGCTTAGTTAGCATGCACGAGGTCCTGGGTTCAATCCCCAGTACCTCCATTAAAATAAGTGAATAAACCTAATTACCTCCCCACCTCAAAAAACAACAACAACAACAAAAAAGCAAAACCCGAAGCCTCTTGCACTGTTGCGATCTGAGGCTACAAGGCAGTGCCTGTTGTGCGCTGCAGCCTGCTTCACAGGCAGTTCTGACAAAAAGGATGCGATGCCTGCCTTTCTAGGCAGGAAGAGAATCCTTCTGGAGGCCAGAAGACAGATTAAACAGACCCCAGGTCTTCGCTGGGTTAAGAATAAGCCTTCCTGGTACTTGAAAAACGGTGTTGGCCTGGTCTGCCCTCTCAGACTGTCTCGCGGCTGTGAGCGCCTGTGTCCACGACGGCGGGTTCACCGCCTTCTCCTCTTCTCTGCAGCCACATCAATAAAAGAACTACCTATTTGGACCCAAGGCTGGCGTTCACCGTGGACGATAACCCTACAAAGCCAACCGCCAGACAGCGTTACGACGGCAGCACCACGGCCATGGAGATCCTGCAGGGCCGGGACTTCAGCGGCAAAGTGGTCATTGTCACCGGAGCCAATTCAGGAATAGGTAGGCCGGGAGCTGACAGTCATTGTCACTGTTAGTCCTAGTTCTGTCTCTGCTGTGGTGAAGCCCCCGCAGTTGAGCTCTGATGGAATTCTGGTTAGTGATTCTCTCCTCTGCACTATCGTCTGGTTAAAATCCTGGCCTCTTTCCCCATCCTGGTGTTATCACGAAGGGAAGGCCACGGAGGGGACCACCTTGAATTCTCCGAAAGCTGAACACTGAGCTGGGATCCGAGGTTCGGGCAGCAGCTCCGTGGGGGAGAGGCTGACCTGGTCTGCGTGCTGCGTGGACGTATCTCAGGGACCCAGGTTACTCGGCCGCGTTGATTGGAGATGGACTGACGGGAAAAGCAGCAGCGAGGCAGGGCTTTGGAACAGAGGGCATTGCAGGTGTCAGTTGGTCACCAAGAGTATCATTTTCCCTTGAGAACAGGATCTTATTTCTTTACAAAGCGGGAGAATCAGTCCGTGTCGTAACCTCTGAATTAACCCTGGTGGTTGCCTGTGTTTACCCCGGTGACCATCCGGGGGGAGCAGGCTGGAGGGGGCCGGGAAGGAACCAGCCGCAGAGCAGATGCTCGAGTGGGCACTCTCCATATGATTTTATTCTTTATTGTTTTGGTCCGTTTACATCAGTTTCTGAATCCATAAGAACCAGCTGCTTTGAGTAAGGATTCACATCTTCAGTTTAATTTTCAGAGACAAAAGAATGGAGTTGCATTTAGCTGTCTTCTGGCAAGTTCTCTCTGTCCTTCTGACCCTGCACCACAGCCCCCTCCAGACCCCCCTCGCCGGCCTTCTCTCTCACCAGCTTTGTCTCCTCACCCCTTTGTGCTTCTCCTGTCCTCCTCCTTTCTCTGTCTTTCTTCATTTCCAGTGACCCTTCCTTGACCTTCCAGAAACATTCCCTGGTCTCATGGGGCAAGTCCAGGAGGGGAAATGCATTCTTAGAGGATCAGCTGTTCCGTAGCACAGGGTCTAAAATCTAACAAGCTGCAGTCCCAGAGCAGGACTTGTGACAGTACCTGTCTTTTAAGGCAAAGAATCCCATGGGATTTTTTTAAAGATTGGAAGAGGTTTATTTAAAATCAACTCTCAGACCTCATCCTGGGCTCAGAATATGTTCAGTCCAATTTTCTGAACTGCACTGGGGTTAATTCTCTATAATTGTCGACAGAAAAAAACTGATGATGCTCTATTAAAAATACTGGCTGGATCCTCAGTCAGCCAAGCAACAAGTGTGTTGTGCTGATGGCGTTTGCTGTCGTGTGAGGGTGTGGACCAAGACAGTGCAGAATAACTAAGGACAAATAAGGACTTAAGTAAAATATCTCTTTTTATTTAACACTCTGTTAAACAGAAAATTAACTGAAAGATCTCATTCCCTTCATCTTTCAGGCTGGACAGTTTTTTTCCTCTTGTTAGGAGATTATGTGACGACTGAGAGTTTCCTGCAGAAGTGTTCAGACTGGCTCTGTCTAACATGTGAAGGGGTCTGGCTGAAGCTCTGTGGGGGATGGGTAATGTCGGACTGATGACCGTGAGCCAGGACCCGTGTGCAGAGAGCTGTGTGAGGCTGGGTGTTTAATCATGGTCAGAGAGGAGGTGGCGGCTCTGGGGCACTGACAGTGAATGCATTGTTGATCAGATCGGACCTCGGACATATTTGATCAACCTCTGTACTTCCTTACAGCTCTCACTGCTTTTTCCTAAGATCCTTAATCTGTTTCATGGACTGTGCAAGTCGGTTCCTGTGGTCCAGTCGCGCGTGGTGGCGAATCCTAAAGCTCTATCCAGAAGGGATGCAGGGGAAGGTCTCAGGGCACCCCTACCCATCTCCCCAGCTCCAACTTTCCCTCAGAAATTGCCTTCAGCTCTCCCTCATCACCCTGTTGCCCACCCCCTTGAGAAGCCTCAGTCTAGGGGAGCACTAGAGATTTATATCCTTAGTTTTTGAAATGATACGGTACCGAGCATTCCAGGTAGTCAAATACTCGCAGATAACTCTGAGTCTGCCGCCATGGCATCGGGCTGAAAGGAAAGAACTGAAGACCAGCACATGGCCTTCCGTCCTCACTGTCAGCTCTTACGTCCCAACAGCTGCCTTACAAAGTGTCCTCACCCAAGTCGGCTGTGGCTCCCAGGTAGAGTCCTTCCTGCTCTTGAACTCTGAATCGTGCCAGTTTATAAATTGCTGTCACCACCCCGTTTCTGCCCCTTGCGGAGCGCGGAGTGAATTAGGCGCCTTCGTTTCCAGCGCTTCGGGGCCTTCGGGAGCGATCTTCTGCGCGGCCTTGGTGGTGTGGGTGCGCCCTTTCCTCTTGTCACTCACGGGGCACTTCCCTGCATGCCGTGTGAGCTGTCTGGTCGTCAGCCCGTGAGTGTCCTCTTGGAAGCAGAGTGGGCTGGAGCAGAACATACCGCTGCTTCTTTTGAGGGTGATGAGCGCACGACTGAAAACACAGGGAAGCCAACTGGCCTTTCAGAGGTTGCCTTACAGATGCGGTGTTTCCGGTGATTCCTTGTTGGTTTGAATTCCCCACAAGGCACCGCTTTGTTGGTCTTGCCGTCTGGAAGCCTCCCTGTCATGGAGGGGGACGTCGGGAGGTGAGAGGGGACACCTTCCCCTGATGACGGGGGTTGTGCTGGGACACCACCCCCCTCTGAAGTGGCCTCCACAGGTTTCATCTTGTCACCTTCCTCCCCGGCTGTAAGTGACCGAGAGCTGTATTTTGAACTTTGGGTGTTTCATATTCCTAAGGCGGCCTTAATTCAGCTTCAGAAGATCGGGGTGGCTCTGGTAGAAGAAGGGTTGTGAGGAGATGTCAGAATATAGCATTTGAGTTCGTGGACGTTTGTAGCCAGATACTGCTGTTGACTGGATTCAGCCGTCCACTGGGGGAGACAGCAGACTGTGGTCCATGGGCTAAATGTGACCGTTACCTTGTTTTGCAAGTAAAGTGTTATTGGGGCCTGGTCATGTCCACATATGTCCGTTCTGTCTGTGGCTGTTCCCATGTGACTAGAAGAATTGCATAATTAGGGCAGGGACCCTGTGGCCTGCAAAGCCTGAACTAGTTACTGTCTGGCCCTTTATAGGAAACATCTGCCAAGCCCTGCGTTAGGTGATCTAATCCCTTTCAAAGTAAGGTGACCCCAACTTTCTCTAAATCAGCCAGAATTTAGACAAAATTTGGGTAAACTGGAAGCCCTGGGCCACAGGAGGGCTTGGCAGCACATTATATGTGTCTGTGGGGGACGTCCCGCCAACATCCAGTCCTGTATCAACTCTGTCCCTCTGTCTAGGGAGCTGCAAGCTTTAGGATGTTGCCCCTTCAGAAACCAACTCTCTTCTCTCCCTGACCTTTGTTCACCTGGCATTCTGAACCCGGAGAGCTTGGCAGCTTGAAAGCTGTAGCCTGCGGACCTCTCTCTGTGTGGAGATCAGCATCTTGGTATCCGGGGGAGTCACCTCTTCACCCAGCGCCTCTCCTCACAGACCAGTCCCGGCTGCCCCCCAGTAGAGACCAGGGAGGAGTTCGTGTCTGTGGGTGCTCAGTGTAATGCCGGGCAGGGCAGGACGGGGCAGGTGTTCACAACTTTCCTGAATCAGTGGCTCGATGGCTCTGATTTAGGTTAAAAAAAAAAAAAGAATGGAAGTGGCTTCACCATGGTGATCATTAGCTATAAACCTGATTGCAGAGTCTCAGGAGAGGGGGTTCTGGGTGAAGGGATTTCCCACTGTGGAAGGTCCTGTAACATCTTTTCTGATTCAGCTCTGCCTAGAAATAGCTCAGTGTAAGATGCTGCCTTCTTAATTCTGAGGGCCAACACGTGCCCCTGAAAGGCAGGATCCTTCTCTGAGGCGTTAACTGAGCACCTGAACATGGGGCAGTACCCACCCCGTGCACTGTCTCCTGGGAGCGGGGGTGTTTGCCGAAAGTCATGCAGAGTGCTGCAGGGAGCAGACTTCTCATCACTGCATGTCAGGAGTGAAACCCAGGTTCTGCCAAGCATCCATTTAAAAGCTGTCAACAAGTTCGCACAACTTAGATATTTCAGTCTAATAATCTTCATTGGCATTGATGATAAAACTGTCTTCCTAACTTCAAGTGTTAGATCAGTAGTCGTTAACATTTGGTTCTTAAATCCCTTTCAGAGTGTGGTCAGGATAAAAAGTTCCTTCGACCTTTTGAACCTTTTTAACACTGGGCGGCCGCAATGTTGTGACTTTAGATCTAGAACAGCCTTGACTGGTTTTGATTTTTGAGTCAGAGGGCCCAGTAACAAGAAAAAACTGTTCTTTGCCCCCCAAACAAATACAAGCTGTGGTCACCTTGGAATATACCAGTAAAATGTATTTTAGGACCGACACTTCAATTTTCTGTTGACACTTCTGTTACATAATCACCTCCCTAAGGTTTATTATGGGGGGAGTCTAATAATGTGTGTACATGTATGCACACACTTAAATACCAAAATTTATATACTTTGAAATATAAAAAATGTTCAAACTATCAAAGTCAACCCCAAATTTATATTTGAAACAAAGTGAAGGCATCAGATTTCTGTGCTGGAATCCCAAAGTGTTGTCATGTAATGTTGAAATTGGTTGTTTTGGCTTAGAGAGCATGTTTTTTTTTTAAAGCTTGGGGTCTTGTTCGTAAATCTTACGTTGAAATTACAGTGTGTAGCGTGGTTGCCATGTTCTCTTAGCCTACAGATCACCACCGCGATGAAGTCATACCTGGTGTAAGTTCTGCTGCTTCTATAGCAATGCGGGGAAAGTGCTCTTCCTCATGTAGAAAAGTGGATTCATTCTTAAGATTTTAAACCCCTGCTTCACAACTATGAACCAGACTTTCTTCCTCCACACCCTCCGACCTTTGTTTTCTTTTCCACACCTGCTGTCACGAAATTTTACCTTCTAGTCTAAACCATGCCATTGACTTTTTTTTTAAACCAATTATTTCAAAAGATCCTGTAAATTTAAGGCCGCAGGCT